GGACATCGAGCCATTGACCACTACCCTCTGGACGCGACCATCCAGCCAGTTCCTTATCCACCGAACAGTCTACCCATCAAATCCATAGCTCTCCAATTTAGAGAGAAGGATGTTGTGGGGGACCGTGTCAAAGGCTTTGCAGAAGTCCAGATAGATGATGTCTGTTGGTTTTCCCTTGTCCACTGATGCTATCACACCACCATAGAAAGCCACTAGGTTCGTCAGGCAGGACTTGCCCTTGGTGAAGCCATGCTGGCTATCTCAAATTACCTCACTTCATTTGTGCACGTTAATGAAGTAGCATTAATACTGTGTGTGAGCTATTTCTAGCATCAAGAATAGATTGCCTCTGTAATTTCACCCATTGCAATCTTCCCATTGCTAATCCATAGTAAAAATTCTGAAATTTCATCCACTGTGACAACTTTACTACAGTTCTCTTCAGATCAAATATAGCAGCATGTAACTACATTCTTTACCTTTCCATACTGCCTCAGCACGGCTCTGAAGAGACACCTACCAAAAGTCACAGCTATGATTCGAAAAGACCGCATCAAGCAAGGCACAGAAGATCAGAAGCATGATCTTTAGTCTCATCCACTTCACTATAGAAATCATAATTAAAGACGTTGATAGGTAGTACAGTAAGATAGTAAGTTAAACTTTGTGGCAGTTATGTGAATTAAAGGAAAGTAAATGTTAGCAAGCTATATAAACACCAGCAAAGGCAAAATGTATGAAAATGAAGAAAACAAGATTATGTATGTAATGTAATTCCACAACTGTGACTTGAAATCCAGTCTCACCAAGTGAGATTTAAGCCATGGACCCACTGACATAAGACATTAAACTCTCTCCAAAAGGACTGGAAACCCTCCATGTAAGCATACTACAAGAAGAGACTATATTGAGTTTTTACTTAAAAGGATTGTTCAGGCCTTATGAAAGCTTGAAATGTGTTAAGCCTAGTCATAGCAATTACAAGTGGATTTATGTTATTAAGAACACCGAAGGGTTTATCATAAGCACACAGACACCATACATTCAGGTATATTCTTCTGCATCCACAAGTTATTTCAGCCCTACCTGATTTTCATGGCATGGACCTTGGCAATATTCAGTCAAGCTTTCCAGCGTCTGGTTCACAAGAGCCACATTCCTTTCATTGATGTAAAGCCCCAATAAGCCCAGTCCGCCTGTCGTGCTTCCACAGATACAGTCCAAAAACTGAAGGGTCTCACAAACAAGGTTGTAATTTGTTTTATTGTTCTGATGTCTTAAAAAATTCTGGTGGATGGAGAAAAGGAACACCAAAAAAAAACCCCAACAAATAACCAAGAGAGTTAGAGTCAAGTCAAACACATATTCTTTTGCGTGAAAATATTAAAGGGAACAATTTATGACCATGTGACCATTGTACCTTAGGTACTCAAGTACACTACACTGAAGAAACATTATCTGATTAAATCAGTAGAGAAAGGAGGGCTTAGGAGAGTGAACATTGCAAACATCTGCACTGGCCTTAGATGTCTTACATATGTCCTGCATACCTGCCCCCATCTATCTATTATGACCCTTCTTTTGGAAGCTTGTTGCCCCACAGCTGAGCAGGTATGGTGGCACACCACGACTGCTCCTTGGCAGTGTCAGCGCAGAACGGTAGCTTGGTTGAAACTGCCCCCAACTCTGCTTTAAGGGAGGCTGCTGGACACAGCACCGAGGTATATTTGCAGAAAATTAATTTTGCAAAGGTTGAACAGGGACAGTAATATCTACCGGAGGAACTGATAGCAGGGACACATGTAGCATCTTGAAGCCTTCAATCATAATACCTAGGGAAAAGAGCAGTACCCAACCTTTGCCCAGAAACTTCCTGTGGCCTTCAAGCCTGTGGTAAGTGATCCACCATTTGTGCACAGAAACCATACTAACAGGGACATTTAGACACTTCTCAATTCCATGTGGCTACACTGCAGTCCTCAAGCAATTCTGAAGACATAAACGTGAGCTCAAACCAGATCATGCAAGTGGTTCTTGAAAAGGGATATTTTATCCCTTAGAACAAAAGCAGAACAACGTTTTAGACACCCCTATTCTGTAACAGGAGCCAGACACAGGCGTGCTTTTACTTGCCTTATGAAGTTCCAGCTCCTGTAATACTTCTTTGGGAGCTCAGCTCAAAAACACTTTACCTGGAGCTCTCGGTTGTGGTTTTCGCACAGCAGCTGAAGAAATCTCAATATTGGTTGCATGATTGCAATGGCAGGGCTCATGATCGCTTCTTCTGTGGACTTCTCTTCTGCATTTGCAGCATCGGTTCCTGAGCCCATAAGATCTATTTCTGGGTCCATTTCTCTTCTATACACAGAGTAAGCCTTGGACGTTGCAGAAGATGCTTCTGTTAACTGTCCTTTCATACCCTCTTTCAGATGCAGGGTTGAATCCTTTACTGAAAAGAAGATGAATTTTCTTTCATTTTTTAAACTCTTTCTCCTCGTTTGATTAAACAATAAGAAAACAATAATAATGAATGCAACTTTTTCTTTGTTGGTGCCTAACTTTTCGAAGACCTCTAGGCAACTTACAAAGAATATCAAAGCAACATTCATGCAGGGATAACATGTTCCAAATAAACCACAAACCAGAGTGAAACAGAACATTAAAACAAAAAGCCCTACTATTTCTCTCCCATATACAATAAATGATGAGAACAATGGAAGGACCACAGGGTGGGAAATCAGTTCCTGCGCTTGCTCTTGTGAAATAGCCCCATTAGCAGCAGCCTCTACTTCTGCTTCTCTAAAAATATGGCTCTGTATCTTCTACTGGTATAAAGCAGCATAGCTTCACTGACTTCATCAAAGCTAATTCCTTGTAACCAGCTCAAGAGATGGCCTATAATTTAGACGTGAATTAGCAATGATTAGTATTAAAGCCTATTGATCAACCCAGCATAGTATCAGTGGTGCAATACATGCAGTTTGGATATAAAGCACTTCTCCCCTCTTTTACATGGGTGCCTTCTTACCTCTCTTTTTGGGAACAGATACGGTTAGGTCACTATCATCATCTTTCTTTTTGCTCCCCAGATCAATAGTGTTCACTGTCACTGTTGATCGTATCTCCTGCTGAGCAGCTTTCATGCGGTCATACAGGACTTTAAAGAATTTTTCTGACTTTTTTTGCTCCTTCAGTTGCTGGTAAGTCGAACACTGCAAAAAATGTATTCTTTAGATATCAATCTTCCAAGGAAGAAGAAATACAAAAATACACTATTTTTTGTGAAAACCACTGATGAATAATTACTTCACTTACAGAGAACAAATGTCAGCCACTGCCTGACCAGTTCTGTCACAAAGTGATACACAAGGCTGGTAACAAAGATTGATGATAAAATTCTTAAATTTGGATAAACGGTGAACATTGCTATTTGCAATGTTTAAAATATCACAATGTTACACTTGAAGCTAAATTACTTTGTGACACTCTCCATTTCTCCAGGTATTCTAGAGTTATAATATTCCATCTACAAATAATAGTGAAAAGTAATTGTTGTCATGTAACAACAAGAAGCATGAAACATCTAACGTATAATATAGCTTAGGTTTATATATATTTTTTTGTGCTTCATACAGAATTGGAATTAATATTTTAGGTTATTAAGTTCAGTCCCTTAGTATTATTGTCAAGCAGGCTGAGTATCATTTTCAAGAGTTTACAAACTCTATCTTAAAGTAAAAGCTTTTTACGGCCCCTAACAATTCATTTTAGAAAGCTGCAACAAAATCTCACTTCTTTAACTTTTTCTGGACACTCCCTAAGGGTCATAGATCGTATTATCTTTTTTACAGAATAAAAATACAGGATGGGATTCTCTCATTTAACTTTCACGGTCCTGCAATGAGGTATGAGTTGGTTATTTAGGCTCCCTTCAGAGGCAATGATGAACTACTGGGAAATGCAGGGAGCGATTCATATCATCTCTCCTCTCTTATGATAACTGCTGATCATAGAGCAAGAACAAAGAATCATCTTATTTGGCTAAAGCTGGGTGAGAGGGATATCATTCACAACTAGAATCTGTAGTCTAAAGCAGTTATTTTCTATGGACTGAGATATTGGTCTTCTCAAATGGCCAGTTTTTCCCTCTTTGGGGATTTTGATAAATGTCCCTAAATGTTTCCAGAAAATAAATTAATTTTATTGATATTATAAACTGGAAAGCATTGTAATTTTTAATTTTACAAGGAGACATATGAAATAACGGGAGATAATGTTCATATGGCAATGACCATGTTAAAAGAAGCACCGTGCTACACACAGGGACAGTTGAAAAATGTTTTCTTCTATTGAAGAGTCTACACTATGAGATATTGCATAATAAGAGGGCATATTTGCATTTGTATTATAGCAATACATATTACAGTGTTAAACTTTTCACAGAACTCACAGCAAAAAGGTTCTTTTTATTTGTCTCCAGACTACATGCATTTGAAAATCAAGATGTGAATAAGTAAATGAAATAAGTACCTGTGTTTGCGAATTTCCACCTTCAAGCAACGCAATACCAAGCAAAATGCCTTCTGAGAAAATTCTGTCATTTTTGGTGTTTACTATAACATCTATGACTAGTTCTGATGCACCTTCTTTATCCAGAAGGCACTGAATATCAAACATGGTTACCCCAGACTTATCTGAGTCTTGTCCTGAAAATCCACCTGCAAATTAGATAAATACATACCATTCATGTTTGTTTCACATATATGTATATGAAAGTAAATCTATGAAAATAATAATTTGTCTTATGCACACAGTAGCAATATAATAAATTTAATTTTGAAATTCTGTTTGAGGCAAAATTCCCCTTGATACAAACAGGACTTCTGGGTGAAACTGCAATGTTGGGCTCTAATAAGAAATAAAACCCCTGAACCATTGCTCTGTTGTGATATTCACACAATAAAGATGCTGGAAATGGCACTGATTTGTCCACTGAACCCCTTTTTCAATTCCACTGCTGCATACGCTAAACTATGCGTATGGTCAGTGCTCCGAGACCACTTTTAAATCTGCTTTTCAATCTCAGGACTGATCTATACAAAGACTGTGTACTGGTAAATCCACTCTGGTTACAGGTATGACCTTCTAGCTAAATGCTTTTGCCAGTATAACTCCTAGACCGTTAACATCATGATGACATTCTTTAAGAACAGAGACTTCAGTTAATCTAAATTAAAGGTGTGGTTTCAAGGAATTTTGTTAAACTGTATAAATTATTATCACAGAATATCACCTTTCCTGCTATACCTGCTTTTATACAGATGTAGCTGCATCTGCTTCATTAGGAAAAATATAGTGCTGCCTTCATCAGTCAGTAGTGCTTTCAATGAACTGACTAAAATGGTTCAGACTTCATTTCTGATTAAGCCATACACACACACACACTTTTTTAGAGAGAGAACTGAATATAGTAAATCTTTACTCTCCTCTTTGTTAGGGAGCAAAATTTGGTGTACAGGATATAAGACTGTAAACATTTCCAGTGTCTACACTGAAACAGTCAAGTTCCAAATGTTGAGCAACATTTGAAAACGCCCACAAACCCAGGCATGCCTTTAATATATGCTAAAAATGCAAAGACAAGTATTTTGACCTGGCTCTATACCTAGCTTCTGCTTCATTTCCTATGACATACATTATTTGGGGTTTTCTTAGAAACCACCCTGCAGTAACTCCCTGTGGCTTCTCTACCAGCTTCATATAAAAATTAGGTTATAAAGGGACCTACAGAGATCATCTACTCAAACTCCTGCTCACAGTAGTTAGAGCAGGTCCATCAGAGTCTTGTCTGGTAAAGTCGTAACAAGAACTGACACATTCTGCAGCCTCTCGGGGAAATCTGTTTCATTGCCTAACCAGTATCTTTATGAGAAGCTTTTCCTTATCTCTTATTTTTTTCAAGTATCAGTAAAGGATCTGGACTTTCAAAAAATGTTTTAGTTTCCAGAAACAGCAACATCTTTGTTCAAATGTTTTGTGCTTTGCTGAATTTCTGGATGTGGATTTACTGGCAAATTAAAATTGTGTTACCAAATGCAACTGAATTGAATGATTTACTGGGGGCATGGGAAAAGTCCCTGCTTTGGTACTGCCAAATGCACACCAGCTATCCGAGACAAGCACATGCAACTTAAAAATAGGAAGAGTCTGATACTGCCTCTCTTCTAACTGGTTACAGAACATGTTTGATTTATTTACCAAGTGAATCCCTGGAGCACTTCCAATGTGCCTATTAGAAAAAATGGTGCTGCTAATTTTGTTCTCTTTAAATGATCTGTGTTGATTTACCTCCCACTTGTGCCGGTTTGCTGTAGCTGGCAGACAGGGGCCCATTCATACCACTTCCATATTCTCCTTTAAAGTAGCGATACAGGAGTATTTTCCTTAAAGTGTTGCCCTTCAAGAGAAAGATAAAAATAGAAGAAATTAGAGTTGTGGCCGATTTCCTTTGTTTGAAAAGCAAGCTGTTTAACACATGTATAATTTATTAGGTCTTTCCATTATAATTAGTACACATACAAATAGTAAAGTTGTCCAGAAAACAAATGTTTAATGGTCTTATCTAACAAATCTCAAGGGAAGAATTCTAAAATACTGTTGTATAAACTTTCTTTGAAGGTTCTTTTAAACTTATTGATTATAAATCAAATACCACCACCTCAATAAATTTCACTGGCTATCTGCAAGATGTGCATATTGAAACAAACTCTACAAAGAGCCAATGCTCTGCAGTCGGTGTGTCTGCGCCCTACCCTGCCATGGCAATACTTTCTTCCTATTTTCTGCAGCTGAGTAGTATCACTCCCTTTTCGCTGATCTGATAATCCAGCTGATAATCTGAAAGAAGCCACATCACATGAAATATTAAAACATTCTCTGTATCTCCTTGTTCCTTTACTTCCAAAACCACAACCAGTCAAAATTTGCATGCAGCTCTCTGAAGATCTTCCCTTTCACTTTGCCTAAGTTCTGCAGCACGAGACACATTGAATTAAGAGTGAGAGTACCAGTTACTTGGCATTTTTATTTTGCCTTCAGTCTCCTGGGAACACCTGCAGTCAACACTCAGCTTTACAGAGACAGTAGGTGACACAACGACTGTAGGTGTATGTGTAACCTAAGATTTTATACAGAAAAAAGTATGGCAAGGTCTCTGATGATTACCACAGAAGGGGAAAAATGGTTCATTTCAACAGCTTGGCAGTAAAATAGGACAACTTCTTCCTTACTTTCACTCACCTACTGGTTTTAATGAAAAACAGTTCTTAAAAATACATGCACCAGAAGCAGCCTCAGTATTTACAAGTTCACCAGCGCCTGCTCATTAGTGTAGCAGTCAACTTTTCAATCGAAACATCTCTGGCCATCACAGACAGCAAAGAGTGGGGAAGCAAGTGCCAGAAACACCTCAAGAACCACTACTCACACTCCCACTTCTCTGTTAACTTAGCAATATTTCCAAGAGCAACCACATGCCATGGTGGAGCTTCACTGCTTCATGGACCTCATGGACAATGGGCTTGTCCACCTCAAGCAAGTGCCAGAATGTGGTATTCTGCATGTGTAGCCTGAAAACACAAGAGCGCCCCTCTTTCCTAGTTCTCAATGTTTTCACTTGATAATAGTCTACACAGAGTTCTCTCAAACAGCCAAGGAAAGTGCAAGGCCTGTAGTAAACTATCAAAAGCCATAAATACAATGGCTGCAAGAAAAATAAAAAGCATCACCTACACATCTGCGGTGCCAGGGAATTTATTAGGTGGATTTTCCAGGTGAGTTTAAGCCAGCATGCTCTACACTACAGAGGAAGACAAAGAACCAGAAGTCTCTGCGGACCTCACACAGAGACAGATTCCTTCCCAGCCTAGTTTGTGATGGGGTTTAACCCTGCATGCATGGACAAGGCACGCTAACCAAGCCCGTAAGAGATTTTGAGATGGCTAAGAGCACCAGCTCCTCCTGCTCACCATCCTGTCTCTAGCTGTGACCAAACTCCAGTGTCTTAAGAGGAAAGTGAACCTCATTTTCCACATCTCCTGAAGAAGCCAAACATATTATTGAAGAGGAAAATGTTCCCACCAGAACTGAGAAACACGGACTAAGAACCAGAATAAAGTCCCTTTTCAAAGTCTCTCAGGCATAAGTATCACAGAATCTTAAAACTGTAACACGCAAATAAGATCATAGAACAGAAACCCTTCCTAACTCCAGACTAGGACCCAATCCAGAATGGGCACTGCATTGAGACAAGATCTTTTAATCAGAAAGGCTGGCATTTGCCATACCACTTGATTAACCACTCTGCTTGAGGCAACATCCTCAACCAGCAATCTACGCAGTCTGTTGATGACTAACAGAGTGCCATGGTAAATTATATAAACAGTCACAGTGCAGTCACGGGAAGAAACACCAAAAGCCATCTATATATAGTTAAGAATAATACCCGTGGTCACGAGCTTTATTGTTCAACCAAAACAGCCTTTATTTTATCAGGAAGAATGTTTAAGACCACAAAACAGCATCTGACTAATAAACTGAATGATTTAGCACTTGGGTCTTATCGCTTGGAAGTGAGTAACTATTGGCACATCTCGGCTCTTCTTCCTGCCTTGTTACCTTCAAAGACACCAGGAGGAGCAGTGATAGGAAGATGCTTCTCCAGCTGGCTATGGAAAGGGGAATCCTGCTACACCCATATGCAAACTAAGGCACAGACTTCACCTCTTATCCCAAGGAGCAAATCTAAATTATTAGGATTCCTGCTCTCTATCACTCCCTCTCTCAACCTCCCACAAATCCAGACAATACTTACAGTTCTCAGAAGCTAAAGTGTCAAAAGTCAAGGACATTGTGTTCAAAAAAAATGTGGTAAAACCTCCACTCTGCCTGACAGCTGTGCCAAAAAACACACCCTCAGACTTAACCCACATATTTGCAAGCTTGGGATCTTCATCCCCTTTGTGATGTCCTTGGGCAGCCACACAACTTCCCTGAGTCTCATGAAACTAGCTGCCACAACAAAGAACGGAAGAGCCCAGCAGCATGAACTGGAGCTGAGAAACGCACAAATGCTCACGCAGTGTATCAGAAACGCCTCTCACCTCCAGCACTAACTCATAGAATCATAGAATAATTTGGGTTGGAAGGGGCCTTTGAAGGTCACCTAGTCCAACCCCCCTGCAATAAGCAGGGATATCTTCAACTCGATCAGGCTGCTCAGAGCCCCATCCAAACTCACCTTGAATGTTTCCAGGCATGGGGCATCTTCCATCTCTCTGGGCAACCCATTCCAGTGTTTCACCACCCTCATTGTAAAAAAATTCTTCCTTCTATCTAGTCTAAATCTACCCTCTTCTAGTTTAAAACCATTACCCCTTGTCCTATTGCAACAGGCCCTGCTAAAAAGATTGTCCCCATCTTTCTTATAAGCCCCCTTTAAGTACTGAAAGGCTGCAGTAAGGTTTCCCTGGAGACTTCTTTTCTCCAGGATGAGGAACCCCAACTCTCTCAGCCTGTCCTCATAGGAAAGGTGCTCCAGCCCTCTCATCATTTTTGTGGCCCTCCTCTGGACCCACTCTAACAGGTCCATGTCTTTCCCGTGCTGAGAGCTCCAGACACAGTACTCCAGGTGAGGAACCACCAGAGCAGAAGGACAGAATCACCTCCCTCGACCTGCTGGCCATGCTTCTTTCGATGCAGCCCAGGATACAGTTGGCTTTCTGGGCTGCGAGTGCACATTGTCGGCTCACGTCCAGCTTTTCACCAGTAGCCCCAAGTCCTTCTCAGCAGGGCTGCTTTAAATGGCTTCATCCTCCAGCCTGTATTGATACTGGGGGTGGCTCTGACCCAGGTGCAGGACCTTGCACTTGACCTTGTTGAACCTCATGAGGTTCACATGGGCTGACTTCTCAAGCTTGTCCAGGTCCCTCTAGATGGCATCCTGTTCCTCAGGCGTGTCAACCGCACCACTCAGCTTGGTGTCATCTGCAAACTTGTTGAAGGTGCACTTGATCCTACTGTCTATGTCATTAAGATATTAAACAGTACTTGTCCCAATACACAACCCTGAGGGACATCACTTGTCACCAATCTCCATCTGGACATTGAGCTGCTGACCGCTACTCTCTGGATACGACCATCCAACCAATCCCTCATCCTCCAAATAGTCCACCCATCAAATCTGTATCTCTTCAATTTAGAGAGAAGGATGTTGTGGGGGACTGTGTCAAAGGCTTTACAGAAGTCCAGTAGATGACATCCGTAGCTCTTCCCTTGTCCACTGATGTAGGCACTTCATCATAGAAAGCCACTAGGTTCGTCAGGCAGGACTTGCCTTTGGTGAAGCCATGCTGGCTGTCTTGAATCACCTCCCTGTCCTCCACATGCTTTAGAATAGTTTCTAGGAGGATCTGTTCCGTGAACTTCCCAGGCACAAAGGTGAGGCTGACAGGTCAGTAGTTCCCAGGGTCCTCCTTGCCACACTTTTTAAAAATGGGCACAATGTTTCCCTTTTTCCAGTCACCAGGGACTTCACCTGACTGCCATGACTTTTCAAGTGTCATGGAGAGTGGCTTGGCAACTACATCAGCTGGTTCCCTCAGGACTCTGGGATGCATCTCGTCAGGTCCCATAGTCTTTACATATGTTCAGGTTCCTCGGGTGGTCACAAACCCGATCTTCTCTTACAGTGGGAGGGACTTTGCCCTGTCCCTGTCTTGTGGTCCATTCGCTCAAAAGGTGTGGGAAGAGAGAATGCCAGTAAAGACTGAAGCAAAAAAGTTGTTGAGTACCTCAGCCTTCTCCTCGTCTGTTGTTACCAGTTTGCCAGTCTTGCTCATCAGGGAGAGTACACTTTCTTTGACCTTCCTTTTCTGGCATACCTGTAGAAGCCCTTATTATTCTTTGTGTCCCTTGCCAAGCTCAGCTCCAGCTGTGCCTTGACATTCCTGACCCCATCCCTACACAACCCGGTAGTGTCCATATGCTCTTTCCAGGATATCTACCCCTGCTTCCACTGCCTGTGCATTTCCTTCCTGCCCTTTACTTTGACAAGCAGGTCTTGACCCACAGGCCAGTCACTTGCCTTCCTTTCCTGATCTCTTAGCACCTGGGGATTGAGAGCTCTTGCGCTCTATGGAAAGCATCCTTAAAGATCCACCAGCTCTGTTCCGCTGTTCTGCTCCCCTGTCCCTAAGGGAGTTTCCCAGGGGGTCCCTGAAGAGCTGGAAGCTTGTGTTCCTAACATTCAGGGTCCTGACTTTACTCTTCACCTGACCCATATCCCTCAGGATTGCGAACTGCACCAGTGCATGACCACTGCAGCCGAGGCTGCCTCCAATCTTGGCATCGCCGATTACCTCACTTGTGCTGGTGACCCTCAGGTCCAGTGACGACCAT